GCATGATACCTCCTTAACAGAGCTGAAGAATGAGTTAATGATTTAAAAATAAACATTGAGACAGGTAAGAAAAGGTTAAGTACAGTCCCAGTACAGCTACTATGGAGGCTCAGTATTTGGGCAAAGACTGAGCAGACGCAATTCTTGATGTCACTGCATTAGCTTATGTGTTGTGTGATTCTGAACTTAGCTTCCCCGAGCCTCAATTTCTTCCCTGATAAAATACAGATAATAGCACTAACTCACGTGTGAAGGGATTAAATAATTCACTTTGGTAGCACAATTCTGAACAAGAGTGGTTATAAACTTATTGTTGTGGGCTCTTTATACTGTATGACACTGAGAGGAAAAAAAAAAATCTAGTTCTAGGAGCCAGGCACCCTGGGGCATAACTATAGTCCCTGGTACTTGGGAAGTTAAGGCAGGAAGATAACAAGAAGCCAGCCTTGGCAACACAGTGAGATCCTGTATCCAAAAAAAATAAAAGCCTGATGCTGATGGCTCCTGCCTGTCATTCTAGCTACTTAGGAGGCTGAGATCTGAGGATTGCAGTTCAAAATCAGCCTGGGCAGGAGAGTCTGTGAAACTCTTATCTCCAATAAACCACCAGAAAATGGGAAGTGGCGCTGTGGCTCAAATGTGTAGAGTACAAGCCTTGAGTTGAAGAGCTCAGGGATAGTGCCCGAGCCCAATTTAAGTCCCATGACAGTCTGAAAAAAATGTACTTCCATTATTTCAGAATTCACTCTGTTCTTAGTTGACTAAGTTAGCAACAACAACAAAAAAATAGAGTACCAAAATCATGTTCATAAATATTCACTCTTCTTCATTTGAAACTAAAATTAATTGGTAGATAATCATCAACTAACACTTCTCAACAGATTCCTTAAACAAAATGGGACAAGCTATTCAAACAGAATAAAAAGCTGAGGTCTCGGGGCAGACAAGCAGTGAGACATGAAGTTCTCTTTTAAAAAGGAAGTGAGATAATGGGAAGTTTTTTTTTTCCTTTCTAAAAATAAAGTATGGCACACAGTATGAAACAACGCTTATTAGGAATTTTTGCAATGTGGGAGAAGGAACCCATGGCCTCAAACATGTTAGAGAGATGCTCTCCACTCACCCGTCACCCATTTACTGGCTTCTTAATCCTGGAACCAATGCCCAGTACAGGGGATGGAACACGGGACCTCATAAGTGCTAAGCAAGCGCTCTTATCACTGAGCTACACCATCCGCCTAAATAAATACCTTGACTATTTAATTTTACAAAGTTATAGTTTAAATAGTAGTATGTTAGGTTGTCACAATCTAAGCATGATGTGTAGTGGATTTTATGGGACTAACAGTGCTAATAATAACAATAACATCAGCTATCAATGCCAATTGTACACTTAGTATTTGTACAAATTTTCTTGCTTAACACCTTCACAATAAATCAATGATATTGATAGATAAACTTATCCCCATAGATATAACATAACTGGGAAAACTAATGCTTTGGAAAACTAAGTAAGTTGCCATTTAGTTAGTATTACAGAGTGTAGAGACTTCAATCAAGAATTGTTACTAGATCCAGATGCCTGTAATCGTAGCTACTCAGGAGAAAGAGATCTGAGGATCACAATTTAAAGTTAGTCTCAGCAGACAAATCTGAAAGACTCTTTGTTTTTGTTTTTTGGATCTAGTCATGGAGCCTGAACTCTGGTCCTGGGCGCTGTCCCTCAGCCCTTCATCTCAAGGCTACTGCTCTACCACTTGAGCCACAGCACCACTTCCAGCTTTTTTCTTTTTGCTTATGTGGTGCTGAGGAATTGAACCCAAGGCCTCATGCATGCAAGGCAAGCGCTCTACCACTGAGCCACCTTCCCAGCCCCAAATCTGAAAGACTCTTTTTTTTTTTGGGGTCCGCTCGTGGGGCCTGAACTCTGGTCTGGGCGCTGTCCCTCAGCTTTTCAGCTCAAGGCTAGCGCTCTACCACTTAAGCCACAGCACCACTTCCGGCTTTTTTCTTTTTGCTTATGTGGTGCTGAGGAATCGAACCCAGGGCCTCAGGCATGCAAGGCAAGTGCTCTACCACTGAG